ATTTCATCCCAGCTACTGTCACAATAGATGTATGAATATCCAAATTTGAAGTGCCATGTTTGATGTTCTAATCAGCACATGTTGGAACCCATTCTGAATGTCTGACTGCAAGTTTTCACTCTCTATGTAAAACAACATGGGAGTGGAGTTGTCGGAAATGCATAAAATATTAAACTGTAAATGTCAGAATTTGAGGAGTTACAGTCGTGACAGATGATTAGTTCAGTGAACAGTTTTGTAGTGTCCCATGCTTGCTGTGATACAAGTAACATGGAAACCCATGAAGATCCGGGGTAGAATATATCTTCAGCATCCCATGCTTGCCGTAAAAGGCGGCTAACGGGATCGGGTGGTCAGGCTCGCTGACTTGGTTGATGCATGTCATCGTATCCCAATTACATGGATCGATGCCCATGATGTCAATCACCGGATTGTCTGGTCCAGACTTGATTATTTACAGACCGCCGTCATATAGCAGGAATAATGCTGACTGCAGCGTTAAACAACAAACAAACAAACAAAGTAACATGACCATGGTCACAATGTCCACTGTGTATGACCTTGCCAGGTGACCAGCAGTGAGTGACAGTCTCAGCTGTGACGTGGCTGCTGGCTATCCCACCCAAGGATGTGATCACTACTGCTGGCGGTTCCTCTGCTCCAGTAGGACCTCCAGGCTTAGATATAGTTGTAAATCTGCAAACAGGTTTGAATGCCATTCACTCGCTACTCTCCTTGATAAACACACTTGAATTGCCAGCCAGGAATGTGAATCCTTTGAGATAAGTTAAACTGAGGCCATGGAGTACACATGACAGGGTATACCTGCTTTGAAAATATCTATACCTGTGAACATCCGGGGTAGAATAGGTCTTCAGCAACCCATGCTTGTTGCATGTGTTGTAAAAGCGTAATAGACGACTTACGGGATCAGGTGGTCAGGCTGGCTGACTTGGTTTATGCATGTCATCGTATCCCAATTGCGTGGATCGATGCTCATGATATTAATCACTGGATTGTGGGGTCCAGACCCTATTATTTACAGACCGCCATCATATAGCTGGAATATTGTTGAGTGCTGTGTTAAAGATATTATTTTTCCTTTCCCACATGTTTATCAGATTTGATGTATTGTGATGTATTGGTCAACATGCCTCTTCATGCCTCTTCATGCCTCTTCATGCCTCAACAGTCAAGTACAAAATCCAAGTCTTGTAAAATTTTATTTTGTCAAGTATTGTTAGTTTGTTTAGCATCACACTCTGCAATATACCAGCTATCTTATAATCTGTAAATAATCAAATCTGGACCAGACAATCGGGTGATTGATGTCACCGTTTTGGGGATGCGTTGACATGCAGTCCACCAAGTCACAGAGCATGACCACCCAGTCCCCTTAATCACCTCTCATGAAAAGCAAAGGAGATCTATATTTTAACCCGGAATCCCCATGGGTGTTTCAACTGTTTGGTCAAGTATGATCAGTTGAGAAAATCCATATATTCATTCTAAAATGAGGCCAAGCGACAATTTTAGACTTTAGACTCGAAAGTTTTTTTCATAGACTCCTATATCAGGTGTAGATGTAGTCCTGCATTGGCCAGTGTGGCATGTGTGACAGAAGGGTGGGGTATTGGGAATGAGTCACAGCTAAATCTGCCATTGTGAGACATGGTGTGTTGACATTGTTGTTGGGCTGGTCACGCAAGGACAGGAGTTGTAGGGGCAGTGTTATAGGTTAGCTAGGGGAATGTCAGGGAACTGTACACAATAGCTGACCTCGGGCCACAGTCGTGATAGAGATCGTGGCAAGGAAACAATTGACAGGTATCTGGAGTTGATTAACGCTACTTTGTTCTTTGTTGAGATTTTGTAGGTTTGTTTTCTTCATGCTCGATAACTATGTGGCTTGAATGGTCAGTCATTTTTGGGCAGCTTGTTCAGTAAATGAGTAGCCCCATGGGAAACTGGGGTCAGAGGTCCTCAGGACTGTGTTGTAAGAGCCGACTGAAGCGAGGATCAGCTGGTGATGATGTGTTTTGGTTCACTATGTGTCCTCATACCATGTCAAGGTGCTCATGATGTCAACCACTGGTTTGTCTGTCCCAGACTGGATTGTTTATAAATTGCAGTGATATTGCTGGAAGATTGCCAGCTGCGTCATACATATCATACATTCACGAGGTAATGAAAGAGTCAAAATGAAACCCAGCATCATCAATGTTGCAGACAAATAGCGACCCTAGAAAAACTCAGATAATATGCATCTTGTACAGAGTAAAGTGGATCATTGATTGGAAATTTTAATATTGATGTATAGATAAATAATTACATTAATTATTCTGTATGTGTGTGTATACAAAATACCTGCAATTAATTTAGACCTGCAATTAATCCACTTAATGCTAAATATCAACTCGGTTGATCCATTTCAATATTAAAACTTTTCTGCCTTCCAATTGTCCATCTGAACTATGGTAATCTATGGTAATAGAAACACTTTTGTGGCAGTGAATCATTAGTTAAGTATTGATATTCAGAAAATTGTATCAATACAACATTGATATTAAATTATATCTGTCAAGTAAAATATTTTTTCTTATAATTTTTTTTCAGTCATCTTTTCATACCTGGGTCCTCTATATATTATTCAAGGCCCACTACAGTGAAAACGGCCGTCTCACAGCTGCTATGACATAGTTTCTCTTGCCCCAAGGCTTCAAGTGTCCTTCAATTCAAATCTAGATAATAAAACATTGTCCTCCTGAAGCAATGATCGTAAAGATGGAGGAAGCTCTTTGTTCTAGCTGTAACTGGTGCTATCTACGTGGGCCATCTGTTGCTGTTTGATCTCTACCTGTACGGCCCAAGGCTGTACATCTGGACCACACTCTTTAGAAGACGAAGATACACAGTTATTACATGTTCCAGACTTGTTACATCATCTCTGCTTATCCCAATGGTTGACTGCATGTCTCATTGTTCAGGGAGCAGCAGATTATGTCGCTGTTGAGGAAATTGTTTTTTGAATTCTTTTTGTCCTAATCGTTCTTTGATTGCTGTTTTGTTACTTTTAATTCACAATGCTTTGCTGGATGACGATTTTGTGTGAAATCATTTATTGGTGATTTTGTCAGGAAGTTTTGCTGAGGATCTTTCGAGTTGTGGATATTGATTTTTATGCCACAGTGTAAGAAGCTGTGTGGGTCCTATAGAAAAATAGTCAACAAGTTTCACGATTGTGTATCTTTTGAGGTATTTCTATATACAGTAAATTCCCATTTACCTGGATGGTAGCATTGCTGCAGAAATTGTCAGGAACAGCAAATTCAGGATTAACGAGTCATGATTATGAAGAAATGTCCATACCGGTATGTATGCACGTAAGGCTAACCAGTAGTAATCATCTGTAGTTAGGTGTCCAGATTAATGGTGTCTGGACAAACAACGTTTCCAAACAAGGTGTTCAGAGTAACGAGGTTTTTGGAATAATCACACTGAGTGTCCGGACTAGCGCGGTCTCACTGTAAACAAAATCTGTACGAAACAGTAATTGAGACTTGTAAATTAACGTACACATTTTAACATTTTCATGAGAGCAAAGGTCTTCAGTAGAAGACAATGTTTGGTTTGGATTTGGCCTAAGTCCGATTGTTGCTGATATAGAGAGTCTTTTGTAAGGGATTAATCAAGAGTCAAGGCAACCTGTTGACGAAGATGAATGTGACACGATGCCTTTAGGAGCTGATTATTTTTGTGTCATGTGTCGTATATCATATGTGACATGAGGATCACGCTGACATATTGGTGCTGAAGCGTGATTTTGTTGATTATTTTACATGGGTTAACTTCCCAGGTTATAGTTGATAGAGGGAAAGGTTTGGTGGCTGTGTGCAATGTTCCATGACTGAAGGACAAAGGAAGTACAGTGTGTGAAACTTGAAGGAAGTGTCCACACTCTGATTATGCATGTCCATCCGGGGTGGTTGGGTAGCCTAGTGGTTAAAGCGTTTGCTCGTCAGGGGTTTTAATCCCGACATGCGTACATTGTGTGAAGCCCATTTATGGTGTCCCCCGCCGTGATATTGCTGGAATATTGCTAAAAGCAGCGAAAAATATAAAACTCACTCACTCACTCTTGTCCATCCATTCATCCTGTTGGGCCAAATAACTATGATCACACCTTCACTGCAATAGATGGATTTATTGTGAAGGATGTTAGAATTGAATAGTTGGTCTTGATACAATTTTAATAGATTAAATCTTATTCAGCATATCATACAATGCCATCGATTGTTGAGCTTGGGTATGACTGAAATTACACCAAAGATGAGCATTAGAAACTAACAGTTTTAGACCACTAGTCCTTATAATGATAACATATAGCAAAACCCTTCAAAAGTGCAAATTTCTACTGGTCCTTATGATACCTTAACTGTTGGAATCATAGTGGTATAACTAGTGCCAATTTCTAACGCTGAAGATGTTGTACTTTCAAGAATTGATCAAACAAGCTCATTCAGTGTTCGTAATTAAGCATGAAAATCAAGGGGTCCTTGTCTAAGCCATCGTGTTATAACTTAAACATTTGGGGGTCAATAGATTCAAATACAGGATGCAAGGACCCCCTGATATTACAACACTGTTATTCCTTTCTACAGTTTTCAATATTAGCTGAATGCATCATTGTGTCTCAGCTGTGGGTTGAGAGGTGTTTATCGTGATGGATACAAGTTGGGTCAAGCCAGCGGGGTCTGGCTATTGAAATATCTGACTGGAGCCATGAGTAGCTTAGGCTGCTGTACATGTATCGAATGAGGAAAACTATAGGGGAGTATAGCCAAAGTAGAAGAAGCTAGGCTACATACACAAAGCCTGACCTCGTGGACCAGGTCAGACTCCTTGCTGGCAATGACAATGGGAGGAAATTTATAACCTGAAGCCGTTTTACATACATAAACTGGTTGAATAGCATCCAGCGCTTCTACCTCACTGGAGCAGACTGTCTGCAGTGCAGGATCTTGAACTTGTAGCATTGAGAATACATGGATCACTTTGCCTGTTAATTTATCCTGGTTTGGCTAAATTGGGCTGTGAGTTTTGGCAACGCCTTGAGGAAGAGTGCTGTGCCGCCGACCCAGTGCTCCCCTCTCAGTCTTGCCAACTGTTGAAGTCATTATTGCCAACGCTTTTCCTGTGTTTTTCTTTTTGAATTCAACAAGTGGTTGGAGGAAGTAGAGCGGCAACCTGGGGTACGGAGCCTGCCTGTAGCTGTGGACAGGTGTCAGACGAGTGTCTCCCACTTCCTACCAGGTTAAAGACGATGCTCATCTTCTAATCAGAGAGGATGTACCATGGATCACATTTTACAGACAACTGCATCATTGGGTGGGAGACTTTATGGTGTGTTTGTCAGGCATTAGCTGATTACTTTGGCTTCATTGCTCATTTGATATTTGGTGGAAAGAACGACTGTGGAGTCAACTTTGACATTTTTTCACCCTGGGAATGATAGTGTGTGAAATAGCAGAGGTTGAAGGCCTGCCATTATGACAGCGATTACAGCATGACTGTCTGTCCTTGTCAGCCCAACAGTGCAATCTGATTTACAATGCCTGCCTAGGTACAGTTACGGTTTAGTGAGTTTTAGAGCATATTCATAGAGGCCGGCATACCTGTCTGCACTAGGATATGAATAAGAGGCGGTAAACACATGCATTGATACATGAGGGACGAGGTTACAACGATCAAACACAACCGTGAGAACTGATACAAGGGACTTATTTACGGATCTGTTTTTCATTCCGTGGTCCATCCTATGAGGAGGATGAAAGAGGAGGAGGCAGTGAGGTATGTTTGCTGCCGTAATAGGTAGGTTACAGTGATACGACACCTGGAGAGACGTATCTACCTCGCTGGGGAGATCTCCGCTGTAGGTAATTAATTACAGGGAAGGCTTCATAAGAGGAACAGGATTGGCCTGTTGATCTGTCTCCAAATCAGTGTGGATGAAGAAAGCTGAAGGAGATTGTTATGGATCAGCCATGGTATTCTGACAAACATGTGTTCAAGGTTTTCCCTGTTCAATAGTGTTATTGTTCATCAGTGTCACCTCAGTTCGCTGCGGAGACGAAAATAGCTTATGATATTATCAATATGTCAGCAACATGTTGCAGGTTTTGCCATGTAAGGATTCATTCCCGTCACTAGATTCGTATCACCACTGTTTGGAATAATTACTTGTATAACAGGCGTCTTACTGAGAGGTGATGAATTGTGATAAAATTTGCTTCTACAACTCGTATAACTTGATCGTGACTACAGGGATTGACCCATCGCGTCCAGTCAATTAAGTGGACAAGTGAGGAAGCTGGTGAGTGGTCACTAAGTACTGTTGCATGGTGTAATTACTGGTGCATATCGGTGTGTGACGTGGACGGGGTACGTGAAAAGGAAGATTACGGTGTAAGTTAGAACAGCTGAGGATACTATGAGGCATTGTGTTGGAGGAAGATGAAGTTTGTGACAAATATCCTGATGCTGAGCTTGGTTCCTGCTTGAGATGATGACAGGATGCAGATGGGATGGAGATGAACGTCCGCTGTTCAAGCAGAGCATTACTTTGTTGGATACACACCTACAACAATGACGCTTAGGAGACGCGCTAGTCGCCTCTTGTTGGTAAGATTTCAAAAAGAATTAATTTTTTTATTTGTCATTTGACCCCTTTACAATTCGGTGAGGTGAGATTCAAATTTTAAATTTAAAATCTGTTGTTTTGTTGTTTTCATGTTGTGCTGTAATAACAGTTGGAAGAGAATAGCACTTGTTGTTTGAAGTACTTTCGGTATTTGTAACAGATACTCAGGTATCATAATTTATCGGTTTATGAATTCAGTTTGCAATTCAAGATGGGAATGTCAGTAATGTTTCTGATGCGAGTCATAACTTGAATGGCAAGTAGGGTTAGAGAAGGCTATACTTGTCCATTAGTCCAACACATCGAGATCCTGAGGGACAAGTTGTTTCATCCCCAAGTCTAGTCATTTTACAGCAACCACTATTCTGAAATTAGTGGTTGACTAGCTGGATATACTACTGTCAACCTGTATCAGAAACCTGTCTACAGCTCTTAAAGATGCCTGCCACTTGGGTACGCCCTTGGTCACCCTGTCAGCTGTTGAGGAGCAGTAACAGGTACATGTGTTGACATGGCAGTGCAGGCAATCTGGCCAGCAGGGTGAACCAGAGAGGTCTATCTGGATAGGATGTGTTCAGTGATGTTCTCAACCCGAGGGAATGTCATTCAGATGCATTGCAAGGCTGAAAATACATGCTTTGTACACAAGACTAAAGATGTATGTTGTCAAATGTTGCGTGGTTGGTATTTGGGGTCATGGAACTATAGAAAATTGACTTGCTAATTGTTAAACGATTTTGTGGCAGTGATTTATGAAAATGGATGAGTCTATTTACGGTTCATGTCGTGATTTATAGACGCCACATATTTTTTTACAAGTTTTAGATCAAAAGAAGCAACGATGGATTGAAATGGAAAGGGTTGTTATTGAGAATTCCTAACCTAAAGAAGGAAGGAGGATTTTCGTTAATGCTAATTCAGGGTTTACCTTGATTTACAAAACTGAAGGTCCAGGGGACCCACAGTAATTAACTCCAAGGGTCCTTACAGGGAATATGAGGCTCCTGTAAAGTAATGAGTGAGTGAGTTGGGTTTAACATCACTTTTAACAGTATTCCAGTTTTATCATGGCGTGTCAGCTTAATGTGTGAGGAAAGCCCGAAGTGATGCAGGTCTCAGACATTTACCACCTTTGTAAAACCCACGAGCACGGGTATGGTGCTGACAAACCTAGAAACATAATCGGGGCGAACCGGGATTTTAACCCACAATCCTAGGTTTCTGGCGTGGCCAAGGGACGCAACTCTGCACAGCAAATCGTGGCGCCTTAGACGACTGGGCCACCCGTGCCCCCTCCTGTAAAGTAATGAAATGGTGTAGTGTATTGTTAGATTAAATCCTTATTTTTCTAACAGGAGCTTTCTCGTCAAGAATTTGGTACACTGAATATCCTTGTTCATCCCATGGGATGCAGCATGTTTTTGTCTGTCTATTCTGTTCATTTGAATGTACGGGACATTTCTGCGTCTTTTCCATAATGATGAGTACCCGGGACCCTTTAGCCACAACAGCTTCATTTTGAAAACAGTTTGGTGGTGGTGGGGTAGCCTTGTGGTTAAAGCGTTCGCTTGTCACGCCAAAGGCCTGGGTTTGATTCCCCACCTGGATAAAATGTGTAAAGCCCATTTCTGGTGTCCCCCACCCTGATATTGCTGGAATATTGCTAAATGTGGTGTAAAACCATACTCCCTCTCTCATTTATTCACTTGAGACAAGTTCGAATGATACAACGCTTAAAATAGTCACCCAATCATATAACATGATATTGTTTACTGTGGAACACTGTTCGGGGAAGTGATGATACAAATACTTGACTCTGTTATTATGTACTGACTCAAAGTACAACAGGGAACGTTTAGTAGCAGAATTTCCCTCCTGTCATAATACTCAAGAAAACATATTTTCCAGCTAAAAGTTTGTTCTGAATCGTAGCAAAATCCTTTTTTGAAATGTGTCCAGGGCTTGCTCAAACGAGGCTGCTATTTTGGATGTAGACGTGTGTCGAACTCTAGGTAAGAAGAGTAATTTTGATTTGTTGATGAGTTTGAGCTAATCAGCAACAGAAACTCTGTTGTTTGTTTGTGATACGGAAGATGGACAGATCATGACGTCATTTTCTGAACGATGCTTTGTCAGGTAATGATGGGTCCAGAGTCTGTATATTGTAATGGGAATGAAATATTATAATACGTTGGATAACTGAGGCTGAACTGAATAACTTCATGCACTGCCATTTTCCTCAAGGAAAAGAAGGCCTGAGAACAAACAGGAGATTCAGTTGTCATGGGATGAAATATGTGAATACCGGTATTTGTTCTGATATTTAAGGCAATGAATTGTGTGAGATTGTGTTACCCAGCCTGGGGTTCCTTGTTTAGTTGCCTTGGTAGAAACTAGTCACCAATAATACAAAGGTGCTTAATGCAGACTGGACATAAGTTCTGATTGTGTCCTGTTGTTGTATTGGTGTCATGTTGTTGAAGCAAATACAGTACTGGTGAAGTGTAGTGGTGATAAGATGTTGGTGATGATGGTGTGTCAAACTGGATTTCGTAAGATGAGACTCACAGGAATGGATAGTCAGGCTCGCTGACTTGGTTGATGCATGTCATCATATCCCAATTGCGCAGATCAATGCTCATGATGTCAGTCACTGGACTGCCGGGTCCAGACTTGTTTATTTACAGACTGCCTTAGCTGGAAGGCGACTATGCTTGTTGTAAGAGGCAACTAAAGGGATCAGGTGGTCAGGCTTGCTGACTTGGGTGATGCATGTCATTGTATCCAAATTGCGTGGATCGATGCTTATGATGTCAATCACTGGATTGTCTGGTCCAGACTTGATTATTTTACAGACCGCCGTCATATAGCTGGAATATTGCTGAGTGCGGCGTTAAACAACAAACCAACCAATCATATAGCTTATATACATTAAACAACAAACAAACAAAACCTTGAGAAGCCCAACCAGATCACGGCCCAAGGAGCCCACTTTACACCCGCTGTCCAAAAGACACATGAAGTTTGTGTGTCCTGTTGTCCTTGAGGAATTCCTGTTTAGGGACCAACTAATTCTTAGTCTCATGATGTCCTCGAAACATATATATCAGAAAATGGCTTCTTCCTGAAATATTAAAAGATAATTGATCACAAAAACACCCTGAAACTTTTCATTTCAGTGACTAAGTGTTAGTCTGCCTTTTAGCATTTATCTGATGCAAAGCACCTCTTGATGTTCTGGATGGGTTTTGAACACTGGCCCTGTATCTGTATTAGCTCCAGCAGTTTTAACACTACCATGAGCCCAGCTTGATGGTGTAGACAATGACAGCACTTCATATGATGGAGGATGATAAATCATTGTAGGTCAAAGACTCCTGTCTCAATAATAAGGTCATATGTAATGTGTCGTGCATTACAGTTATTATGTATTCAGTTTGATAAGCAGATGTCAAGTCTGATTCTCGTTTAGAGACTCGCTTCCAGGGTTGTTTAATGCCGCACTCAGCAATATTCCAGCAATACGATGGAGGTCATAATTAATTGAGTCTGGACCTGACAATCCGGTGATTGATATCATGAGCATCAATCCTCACAATTGAGATGCGATAACATGCATCAACCAATTCATCAAGCCTGACCACTCGATCCCATTAAGCATACTTGGGATGTCACAATGACTACCTGCCAATATGATACGTATTGCTGTACTTTGTTCACAATATATGTATCACGATACTTAATTCTCAGCAAATTTGTGGAATGTGTTTATTTCAATAGGCATAAAAACTATTAAAATTGGGGTGGTTGGGTAGCCTAGTGGTTAAAGCGTTCGCTCATCACGATGATACATGGGTTCGATTCTCGACATGGATAAAATGTGTGAAACCCATTTCTGGTATCCCCCATCGTGATGTTTGCTGGAATATTGCTAAAACGTAAAAGCGCTGTAAAACCTCACTCACTCACTCACACTCACTCACTCACTCACTCACTCACTCACTCACTCACTCACTCACTCACTCTATACATTGTACAATGTACATACAGTAAAAATTAATAATGATAATAATTTTGTAGGTAAGACCCATTTTGCCAACAAATTAAATTCAATTGTATCGTCTGAGAATATCATCGATGCACAGGTCTACGTTTTGGTGAATCGTGACATCCTACATGAAGCAGTGTTGAATTTGTGCCATTTGCACTTGAAATTCACTATCTTCCATGCAGCCTGATGGAAAGGGTCTTTCTGTCAGCAAGGTTGTGTTAATTTTGACTTGATGTAAAGGTATCATGCAATAGATTTTAAAAGTATGTTTCATTAAATAGGCTTGCCCAAGTTATTGAGAGAAGGATGTGTATGTAGTGGCTGCTTTAGCTGAGAAGAGGATTAGCATGGATGGAGGGGAATGTTTTATGAAGTATAAGCTTTGGGTCTGCAAGAGAAACTATTGAAAACTTGACACAATCAATTCATAGATCAGAGGACAAGTGATGAATAAGGAGTCATAACATGCCCTGAAACTGACTTTGTTGTGAACCGTTAACCTGTTTGTACATTCACGGTCATATTTGTGACCAACCATGAGATGAGGGAGGGATCTTATGGGTGAAAGATCACGTTTCAACTGCTTATTATATTTTAAAACTTCATTATCTTTGGACCACAAATATATAATTCATTAGCTTCAACTTATGTTTATTACAGAGATACAGGGCATCAAACATTTGGACTCATTTTCAGTTCCATTTTCAGACTTTAAACCTTTTAATCAATGGCTGCTGTTTTTAGACATGATGTCTGCTTAATTGAAAGTAGACATTCATGATGAAATCTTTTGAAATGTTTTTATTACATTATGAACTAACTAGAGAAAAATAGGATATTTGTATACAGCCTGCACACATGCAATATCAAGGAAGTAAGTTGACATCAAATGTCTTTCTTTATGACGTCACAGCACAATTGTATCCTAGC